GTCAAATGACCTGAGATCTTAAACCATAAGTGCTCGATTGGCAGACAGTAAAAGACTGGATGAATTAATTATGATACCCTGGGAAACTAGGACTAAATGGTACTTAGTTTTAAGATTCTGTTAGAGACGTTAGTTCCTCCAGAAATCACTTGTAAAGGTCCTCATTTTGGATTTTATGTTTTAGCGCATGGGTTTGATCGCTTGACTTTGAGAATACATTTCCAACTCGGAAAAATCCTCGACTGTGTATAATTTGGTGTATTATTTTAGTACGTTATTTTTGTGGCTTTCACAAGGACGATTCCATCATGTATAAATAAACTCGATTTGTGTGCTTGTGGACCTCATAATTTCTGGATGCTTGTAGAATACACTTTCTACGTCTTGTTAAGACTTCTTCCTCTATTTAGTGCGGCATTGGGACGCTCGGATTAGATTAGCCTATCGTGTCACTGGATCATCATTGTCTTCGCTCTCATTTACTGAGGTGAACTCGTATTAGTTTCAACCATATCAATTGATGAGCATAAACAGATTCTTACATTGTAATATTATGCAGTGTCTACATTGAAAAACATCATCTGTAAACTCTGAATCATAACGTACTTACTTACTTATCACCTGTTACAACCCTATGAAGCATAGGCTGCCGACCACTATTCTCCAACCTGCTGCGTTCTCGGCTTCCTTTCCAATTCTGTCCAATTTTTGTTGATTCTTCTCATGTCTGGTTTATATTTCTCCGTCTTAATGTTGTGTCCTTGGCCTTCGTCTTCCCCTAAAGACCTTGGGGATTCTCCAAGTGAGGACTTGTCTTGTGATACAGTTAGATGTTTTTCCTCAATGTGTGTTTCTTCCAAAAATAAATCTCATTCTTAACTCTCAACACTAATTCATAAGCGTAAAACAGGTATTTGATATCCACTCGTTTGGTATGCCTTACGGTTCTCAAGTGTAAATGAAATATTTACTTGACTTACACTGTAGTGAAGGAGAATACATGTGGGGCAACCGAATTGTATTTAACGATAATTACAGTTACTCAGTAAAATTGGAAAACTATATCGTAAATCGTTAATTTGCAAAATATCAGTTCATCATATCGAACTGGACTGTTCCTGTTGCAAAACATCAATCCATTATCACTATTCATGTGTTTCATATAAATTCCATTGTTTTCTAACTCTTCCCTTCCTGATCTTCCCCCATCTCCTGCTGCCAGACATTACGTTGACACTCACGTCATATACTACTTATAAGTAGCTCGCACCACAATACTAGTTCAAGATTTCTCAAAAGGTTTTATGTTAGATTATCTTAGATACTTGACAGAAAAGCCATACCCTAGATTTCATACTATTTGAAACTGTCCATCATCATAGTTTGACAAATTACCTATCAAGATAAAATGGGCATCGATTGATTTTCTGAGATATTTTTATCTAATTCATCAGTAAGTAGCACCAAATATCACGTTTGTTTGATTGAATTCACTGAGATCACTTAGACTAGTGACCACATTGCAACTTAATCTATAGAATTATTTTAACACTAAAGGATTTGACATTATGGGGTTGTAGAGATTGTTGAGTTAATTTTTGAAATCATGAATCGATGATCAATGTCAGACCACCATTAGAAACCCACAAGCACTGGATGTCTGTTTCGTCCTGGTATAGGACTCATCAACAGTTTGCGTATATGATTCTTGCACATAGCAGGATTAAAATTCAGTGTTTGGGACGTTAGATCGCCAGAACTCGCTTGATAAATGTCTTAATTTTGGATTTCACATTTGCGAGCATGAGATGATCAGTTGACCTTGAGATTACGTTTCCCACCAGGAAAATCCTTCGCTGTGATTGGTTACTGTGTTATTTTAGTGTGCTATTTTTGTGACTTTCCCAAGGACGTTTCTATGATGTATAAATGAACTCCATCGGTCACTACTTCTCACTAGAGCTTGGAGAAACCTCCTCATAGAGCTAGTCTTTAGTGAACACGTGATAATTTGTGTTTTAAGGTTTTGGAGATTGTTAATTTAGTTTTTTGAAATGATGAATCAACCAACCACCATCATGTTCAAATCCTTTCTTTATTTGGAATCGTAAATGTGAACTGCTGATGAGTCTCATACCAGGACGAAACAACTGTCCAGCGGTTATGGGTTTCTAATGGTACTCTGTCAATAGATTCATTCATGATTTCAATGTAATAATTATACTACAAGTAATACGTATGTCAATATAGCAAAAAACAACATTGAAGAGTTGTTTTTTCAAAGAATTCATTTTCATTGAGATACACAATCGTAAATATATACTTTTTTTCTCTACATAAGGTGATAATTAAAAATTTTTACTCAACATGGTTTTACTATGTATAAAATGTTATTTTGATTAAAGGAATGAACACTGATGTGTATTGTTGAGGCCTTGAATATTGATCATTACGAAAATCGATAAATAAGTTATGGTCAACTTATCAGCCCATGAATAAAATTCAAAATTAAGACATTTATCAAGCGACTTCTAGGGATCTAACGTCTCCAACACACATATTATCGATGATTTACATAACAGAATGGTCTTATTTAAACAACCAATACAAACGTAGTACGATTGATCAACTGGTTTGTCTTAATATGAGACTCTTAATCAGTATGCATTCCGGTGAACTCGATTGGAAATCGAACGTAAGATTTGTAGGTATTCCAGTAAGCTCTTAATCTTCAAACCACTTTGTTGGGTTCTAATGATTTGCTCTACCCAAGTATTATTGTTCCCCTCATAGGGTTTTAGATACATATTTTCAGAATTTCAGTTTTTATGTACTGGTTATTATTGAAAAGATAATTTTAGTCTGAATGATGATTCTAGCTTAGAATCTACAAGTAAAACATACTACTGAATGTCTGGGGTATCAAACCTTCAGAACACTATCTCATGGCAACTATGTTATGATGCTTTATAGTTAGTCATTAAAACACTGTGATGGTGTTCCGTTCTCTGAGCTGAATGTTTTGGTTAAAGGATCATGAATCATTATTCTTCTTCTGAACATCATCACCATCAGCACCAGCAAACTTCAGGTGGAAAAAGTGAAGTATTCGAATTTCTCCTCCATGTTTCATCTGTAGCTTGTTCTGTTAACCTCGATCTTGATTGGTTGCTGTTATTGACCTCAATTAAACCTGTCATTGTCTGCACATTTATTTTGATTGTATCCCCCTTTTGATTTGTTTCATGATCCAATATATGTCTACGATTTTTCTGATTGGTTAATAAATTTAGTTGATGTTTTTGATTGCTGATTGATTTTTGAGTGCCAAGCTTCTAATAAATTCTCTAGTGTTCTTTATCCAACCCCCCCCTATCCAGTATATTTCAACATTCCTCCAATCGAACATGTGTCCATAGTTATCTGTAAATAGTTACGCCTGCACGTAAACACGTCATCTTGATATACTTGTACTATTACGAGTTTACCTAGTCGGGAAACGAGAGCGAGGATCAAGGATTAGAACCTGTATTCTACAAGCATCCAGAAAATACGAGGTCCGAATTCAGGAGAGAAACAGGACCCCGGACTAGGGATCCGGGACCGGGTCCTGGTCATAAAATGTTACAGATAATGCGTATTTATAAGTTTTGGTCGAATAGGAAACAGCATCGAATTCTGTGACATTGACAGTCGTCCGGATGACCAATAAGAGACAACATTGAAGTATTTGACTTTGACAGTGAAAACGACCATAAATCTGACCAATAGAAATCGACCAATAGGATTTGACCAATAATTCTCTTAGGATATTGGATGAATAACCTAACACTTAAATACGTCTCAGTTAAATGTTTTACTGATTTGGTGTGTGTACAAATCTTTCATCCTTATTTTTTTGTTCTTCTCCAGATTGGTGATCCAGTTATTGTTCTCCTGGATAATGGTGCATGGACTGAACGTCTTGTATTACCAGTCGATACTACTACTACTACTACTAATCAAACCAATGCATCAACTGCACAATCGGAAAATGGTGAATGTACAGAGGGTAATGAAACCGCAACGACACTGACAACACCGACAACACCAACAACAACGCCAGCAACACCGACAACACCGACAACTATAAATATCAAATCAATCATTCTACCAAGACCGAAATCATTAGACACGCATAAAGCTGCTATCATTGGTTTTGCTTATATACCAGCTTATATATTAATACATCATATATTAAATGTGAAATCAGGTGATATTGTGTTAATATTTTCTGCTGGTGGTGGAGTTGTAAGTAGATTGTTTTTAAATTTAGAAATTTTGTTTATACATGTAAAAGTAAAAATTAAAAAAAATCGGTAAAATATTGTTGCACATTGAATGTAAACGAGAGCGGGAGTTCGGGGATATGACAGGCTACTCTAATCCGAACGTCCCAACCCCACTATTGAGTAAAAGGGAAAGATTTGATATGAAGTAGAACATGTATTCTACAAGCATCCAGAAAGTACGAGGTCCGAGTCCAGAGGAGAATCAGGATCCCGGACTAGGAATCCGCGTCCGAGTCCGGGTCATAAAACATTACGGATAATGCGTATTTATACATTTAGGTCGAATAGGAAACAACATTGAAATCTTTGACATTGATGGTTAACACGACCAATAGGAAAAAACATTTGAAGTGACACGGATATTCAGGGTGACCAATGGGAAACAACATTGATGTGTGTGACATTTGATAGCTAGGACGACCATAATATTGATCAGTAGGAATAATCCAATAGGAATTGACCAATTGAGTTAGACTTACAAATAATTCTCTTCGGATATTGGATGAATATCCTAACAAATGTGCCCACTTGTGATGATTAGATTTGTGAGCGTAATTCCACCGAGTTCTAGTGAGAAAACATGTAACCAGTGGAGTTGAATCCTGTTGGGTTTAGGTAGTAACTACAGAAGACAAATGGATGAGGTCGCACAAAATCCCTAGATTGATCAGAGTTGGATGCCGGCCCAGAAGTTCCGAGGTTAGCCGTTCGTGTGCGAAATCGAAGGTCCTGAGTTCGAATCCTCCTAGGTGCAGGAGTCATGGATGCACACTGCTGGTGAGTCCCGTACCAGAACAAAAACAGCCGTTCAGAGCTTCTAGGTTTCTAATGGTGGTCTAACAATCACTGATTTGTGATACAATGAGCTGATTGAATTTCGACATGAAATTCACTCATTCATTGTAGCCTATGTTTATTTTGTGATGAAAACTTTACTTCTAATCTTTGAATTTTTGATTTCACACTTGATTTTGATTTTTCAACTTTATTTCAAATCTTGTCTTGACATTAAGTTAAGTATTTAAAACTACTCAAGATTACATTAAGGTCACACGGAAATCATTCAATTTTGATTTATGAGTAGAACTTTTAATATTGTAAAATCTTTATTCTCAACTCATCTAAATTAACAACACCAAATATGATAATTTAAAGGTTGAATTTAAAGCGGCTTGTCCCATTCAGCCAAGCGATCTACAAGCGGTAAGGATTGAGTAACTAACCCAGAAAATTAAACGAAATTCGCGTTTATATTTATTTAGATACTAACTAACTAACTAGCTAGCTAACTTACACCTGTGATCCCGAATGGAGCCATTGGTCACTGACCAGCAAATTATTTTTCTGGTTAACGTTTTCTTTAGTGAGTTAGATTTCTACGGAATGCAGTCGCGAAGCTCATGCCTAACCCTATTCCTTTATCTAGGCTAAGGATTGGCTGCAATAACCCCCTAGAAAGGCTCCAGCAATAGATAACATGTACAACTATCCATAAGTATTGTTAGGATATTCATCCAACATCCTAAGAGAATTGTTGGTCAATTATTGTTGGTTAATTCCTACTGGTCAATTTTATGGTCGTCCTAGATAACAATGTCACGTGCTCCAATGTTGTCTCTTATTGGTTGTCCTGACTATCAGTGTCACTTCAAATGTTGCTTCCTATTGGTCGTCTTAACTTTCAATGTCACACACAGAATTCGATGCTGTTTCCTATTCGACCGAAATGTATAAATACGCATTATCTGTAACGTTTTATGACCAGGACCAGGACCCGGTCACGGATCCCTAGTCCCGGATGCTGATTCTCTTCTGGACTCGGAACTCATACTTTCTGAATGCTTGTAGAATACAGGTTCTACTTCACATTCAAGTCTTGTCTTCTTTTACTCAATATGGGTGTTGGGATAATCGGATTTGAGTAGCCTATCGTGTCACCGGTTCCTCGATCCTCGCTCTCGTTTTTCTGACTAGGTAAACTCGTAATAGTTCAAGTTTATCAAGTTGACATGTTTACGTGCAGGAGTAACAAGTATATAACACAGATTACATAAATGTATCTTAACATTGTTTAAAAAAAGATTAGTATACAGAAGAACGAAACAAAAGCACAACATTGAAATGATTCATTATATTCAGTAATTAAAACAACAACGCCACCATCATGTTCAATATTAAATTTTGGTTGTCACATTTACATTTTTGTATTAATTAGTTGGAATATAACCATTATGCAATGTAATATTGTACTAGAATAGTTGAATTGTGACTAACACATTGATACTACTTGTATCTTTGAATATTAACAATAGAATAACACTGAGAGTGATTCTATCTTAACTCAGTAGTCATAATTCACTGGATAACCCAATGAATATGGTGTTTGCTATGAGAAAAATGCCAGATTCAGATCTTGATTCAGTTCAGTATTTAGAAAACAGGTACTAGTTAAGGATGGAAGATCAATAGATGAAGTGGTGAAACTTCACCAGTTGAGGTGGTTGGGACATGTGTTACGTGTGCCTAACCACCGACTGCCTCGATGAGCTATGTTTTGCAGTGTAGGAGCAGATTGGAAGAAAGTTAGGGGCGGCCAAACCAAAACATGGCGGAAATTCATGAAGTCACTGACAAGTGGACTGAGTCATGTCGGTAGGCGTCGACTAACTGGTCGGCGTCCGCGAGATGAAAGTAACCAATGGTTAGAGACCTTAAATGAGATGGCTCAAAATCGTTTGCAGTGGTCCACGTGCATCCATTCTCTGTGTTCACTCAGATGGTATTCTTCTTAATTTCTCATTATTTCTGAAGTTATCTCACTGAATTATACTTCTCGAATCATATCTTCAAACTCCAATCTCTCCAATTACCGCTTATACTTTTACTACCTCCACTACTATGAGATTTGAATTGATAATTACATCTCTGTGCTAATGTTGTATGCCAACTTGAACTGATGTACGTACGTACGTACGTGCGTACAACATTCTAGGTTGTAAATAACCGAATAACTCGTAATCTATTAGCCAACGAGCCAAGCCAGTCAACCAATCACAATTCACTCATCTAAAATTTCTTAACCCTTTCCTTTAAAAAATAAAACTCTCACTTTATTATTCTAGAATTCTTTTATAAATACGTTCTTTTTCTTTTCTTCAAAGGAAAAAAAATGCATTATTTATTTGAGGTTACTTGAAAGTACATTTATGTATTCAATTTTTCTCTATCTGGTTTTTTTATTTTAATAAAAAAACAATTATTCCCCCCTCCCCCATGAAATAAAACAATATTCTTTTCAGTTGATATTATTTTTAAAAATTAAATACAAACATAAACCTATTTTTTAATAAGGTTTAAATTTAAAGTTTATGAAAAGAAAGTCATTACTAGTGAGGCTGTTCTGCTTGCTTCGTTTTCTCTTTATATTCATTCTCATTGTAACAACAATGAATCTGATTGGTTGATAACAACAATGAATTTGATTGGTTAATTAGTTTAAATACAAAAAAGTTCAGCCATATGAATTTTGGTTTATTATTATTATTATTATTATTACTACTTATTATTATTATTATATATAGATTAATATGATAGATTAAATTGAAATTATGAACTGATCATTTTATGTGTACTGCTGATGAAGTCTAATATTACTAGGGATGAAACAGTTAAACACTGCTTCTAGGGTTTCTAATGACGGGCTAACACAATGATTGTTTCATAATTTCAACGATCTTCATAACTCAATGGTGAAAAATCATAAAGTGTGCTGATTAGTGATGATTAACTTCACGAGGAAATTCTTGGAGTTTTAATGAGAAGTCGAGATGAAGTGTAGGCAGTTACCAATGAAAGAAAAATTGGTGAGATTGTACAATATCAGAGGTTGAATAAAGTTAGACATTAACAATGTTTGATGCTGGCTTAGTTGTCTAGAAGTTAAGCGTTCGCGCTGAAGACTGTAGGTCCTGGGTTTGATTCTCAGCGCGGATACAGAAAGCTTGATTTGCTTCTGCCAGTTTACGCCGTTTATGGCGTAGGCGAGATATCTGTCCACTAACCAAAGGACGAGTGTACTGTGCAGCAGTTCGCTCGGTTCTCCTATATGGCTGTGAAACATGGCCGTTAAGAGTAGATGTTTGTAGGTTACTAGTATTCGATCATAGATGTTTAAGAAGCATTGCTCGTATATCGTGGGACAACCGAGTATGCAATGCTATCGTTAGGAAACGAGTTCTTGGTAAGGATGACAAATCAATAGATGAAGTAGTGAAACTTCATCAGATGAGGTGGTTGGGACATGTGTTATGTATGCCTAACCACCGACTACCTCGACGAGCTATGTTTTGTGGTGTAGGAGTAGGTTGGAAGAAAGTTAGGGGTGGCCAGACCAAAAAATGTCACAAATCCAAGAAAAGTCATTGACAAGTGGACTGAGTCATGCTGGTAGTTGTCGACTACCTAGTTGGGGTCCACGAGATGAAAATAATCGATGGCTAGAGACCTTGAATGACATGGCTCAAAATCGTTCGCAATGGCACCAGTGCATTTATTCTTTGTGTTCTCTCAAATCCTAATCTTCTGGATTGTTCAACACCTCAAGTTTTTACTTTCTGAACTTATCTCATTGAATCATACTTCGTGAATAATATCTTCTAATTCTAACCTCTCCGATTACTTCTAGTACCTTTACTACCTCTTCTACTATTGGATTTGAATTGACAATTATATCTCTGTGCTGATGTGGTATGGCGACATGAACTGATGTACTTACGTACGAAGTTCTACGTTGCAACTGACTGATTGACTGAAGTAAGTAAGTGAGTACTCTTCATTTGAAGAATCCAGGATATAAGTTCATTGAATTTTTTACAGTGATTTTTTGATGTCACTTTTATTTTTTCAAAAAAAGTAAAAAGTTTGTTATTTCATTTATTTATTTAAAAAAAGGGAACCGCTTTGGGGCAGTTGATGAAACTTATACCGAATGTAACTTTAATTGGTACTGCATCTAAAGGGAAACATGAGAAATTAACAAAAATCTATGATATTTTACTGGAACCTGATCAAGATTGTGTGGCAGAAATTAAAAAGTTAGTTTTTTTTTTCAATTAGAGTTATGGAGATTAGTGTTTGTTGAACATTTGAAATCATTAATCAGTCATTGTTAGACCAACATTAGAAAATTGGAAGCACTGAAAGACGGCCGTTTCGTCCTGGTATGGGACTACTCATCAGTGGCAGTGCGCATCCACGACTCCTGCACCTCGCGGGATTCGAACCCAGGACCTTCGGTACTGTGCACGAACGCCTAACCATTGGACCGGGTTCGAATCCTGCGGGGGTGCAGGAGTCATGGATGCGCACTGCTACTGATGAGTACCATACCAGGACAAAACGGCCGTCTTTCAGTGCTTCCAGGTTTCCAATGGTGGTCTAATAATGATTGATTGATGATTTTAAATGTGTAAAATGTTAGTGCTCCAGTGTTTGTTCTATTGTTTATGAATTTATATTTGTGTATATATGATTCAATCGAAGCAGTAATGGTTTTTTCAATGACAATACGATGTTGCGTATGTTACTCGAAGGAAATCAACTGGACTGAGTCATGTTGATAGGTGAAGACTACCTGGTTGGGGTCCGCGAGATAATAGTTTTCGATGATTAGAGACTAATAATACCTTTACTATCTCTACTACTATTGGATTTGAATTGACAATTGTATCTTTGTGTTATGCTGATATGGTAACTTGAACTGAAGTACGTACGTACGAAGTTCTATGTTGTTTCTGCTGACTGACAAGGAGAAAATCATATAATAGATTTTTATTAATTGTTGTTGCGTAATTGTTTTTCAAAACGTAGTATCTTCAAATTCTTTATTTTGAATTCCAATACCGCTTAGTCTATTCTTGTGTTTTTAAAAAAAGATATTACTGTGTTTGTGTTAGGATATTCATCAAATATCCAAAAGAGATTATTTTATAAGTCTAATTCTATTGGTCAGTTCCTATTGGTCAATATTGAAGGTCGTCCTAAACTATCAAATTCATATACTCTTTTAAATGTTCTTTTCTATTGGTTAGTATTCACGGTCGACCTAACTGTATAAATATGCCTTGCCTGTAAAGTTTTATGGTCTTCTTCTTCTCCTGTACAAGACCTTGTAGAATACACTTTCTACGCCATATCAAGACTTTGTGATACCGTTAGTGGGCCATTGGGATGCTCGGATTAGAGTGGCCTATCGTGTCACTGGATCATCGTCTTCGCTCTCGTTTACCGACTAAGGTGAACTCGTAATAGTTTAAGCATATCAAGTGACAAGTATAACAGTTTGGTAAAAAGCTTGTGAATCAGGCGTAATATGTATATTTTTATCCAGTATTTCGACATAAAATAGATGGAATGTGACTTAAAAATGGACTGGATGAAACTGGTCCCATGAGATTGGTTCTCTTAAGTTTATCTCACTCACTGCCTTATGGATTGGATAGTGTTCGCAAGTAAGACTGAAGACCTTGGGTTCGATCCCTGTGAGCGAAGACCGTGGAGATTCTCATACTATGGAAAAAATGGCTGTCCAGTGCTTGCAAGTTTCTAATGGTGGTTTAATAATCATTGACTCATGATTTCAATTTCTTCATTCTAAATTGATTGATTATTCTAAATAATAACGGATGGAATTCATTTGACGTGTTTATACCAGTTGGAGGTATCAAGTCATTTGGACTAATGAATAGACTGCTGATTGATTATTGATAGAATCTAATCAGCAATAAGGAATAATCAAAGATAATATTAATTACTAATAAGTAGTCTCACATAGGAGTGGATAGGATGCACATTACGGAAAGCATCCAACTGCGTCACAACACGTGCCCTCACTAGGAACCCTCAAGGTCAAAGGAAAAGAGAAAGGTCAGAGAATACATTACGCTGTGAGATGGAGATAAACATGAGAAGAATGAATAAAAATTGGACAGAGCTGAACAGAGTAGGTTGGAGAATGTTGGTAAGCGGCCCAAGCTTCATTGGGCTTGACAGGCGTAAGTAAGCAAGCAAGCAAGTCTCAATCCCAGATGATGTTAGTAGAGATTTAAATCTGTCAATGGTATCCTCATTGATAGTTACACTCAATGAAGTCAACATTAAATCATTCCAGATTGTAAATATCTGATAAGTAACAAGTGACAAGAAATCAGTGATTCTTTCCTGTAGGTAAATTAGTTTTTATAGGATCCATATAATTGGGAATGTGTGACATAACACTGTACATTCTAATATTCAACACAATATCAAACTTCATACGATTTCACTATGCGCTACATTGCTAATATTGGGTTCGTCACTAAGTATGCTTGAGGCTATTACGAGTTTACTTTAGTCGATAAACGCAAACGAGACTTTTACCAGCGTCCAGGTAGGCTACCTTGAATCCAAACAGTAAATCAGAAGTCTTGGTAAGCGTAGAAAGTATATTCTACAAACACCCAGCAATCACAGTACAATTACGCATACAACTCTCGTTTATTTATACATCATAGAAACGTCCTTGGGACAGTCATAAAAAAATAGCACACTAAAATAACGCACAGCAGCCAATCACAGCCATGGATTTTCCTGGTGGGAATTGAAATCTCAAGGTCAGTTGATCAGCCCATGCTGGCAAACGTGAAAACCAAAATAAGGCATTTATCAAGCGAATTTTGGGGATCTAACATCCCCAACACTTAATCGTTACAAAGAATACATCAATATGAATTTTTCTCTCAAAACAAGCTATCACTATTAGAATTGAAGTTGGGAAAGTAAGAAAACTCTATAGATGTTACTAGTCTTTTCATTGATTTGTATTTGTATACTTGTATAGATAATCACGATAACTACTTAATGTTGTGTTTATTCTCAAAGGCTTTATCCGAATGGAATCGATGCAATATTGGATTGTATCAGTGGACCTGATACGAATAAACTATATGGAATATTAAAACCGTTGGGAAAGCATGTAATTTATGGTAAATTGACGTGTTGATTTATTTATGATACATTTATTCATAAAAGTGTCCTTTTTCCTTCTTCTGCATAATAAATACGCATCCACGACTCATGCTTCTACCACAGGATTCGAACCCAGGACCTTCGGTTTTGTGTAAAATCCTTAGATTGATTAAAGTTAAGCATTAACACTGTTGGATGACAACTTAGTGATCTAGAGATTAAATGTTCGTTTACGAAACCGAAAGTCCTGAGTTCAATTCCTGTGAATGGGGGTCTTGGATGCCCACTACTGGTGAATCCCATTGTGCGACGAAACGACCATCCAATGATTGTTAGTTTCTAATGGTAGACTAACAATGACTCATTCATGATTTCAAGATGAAACTACCAAAGCAGTTGTTAAAATCAATCAGAATCCGTTTAACATGGAAAAAAAGAATTTAAGTTACATAGAACATGAGAAACCGTATTAATAATACACACTCCTGCGAGGAGCAGGAGTCGTGGATGCGCACTGCTGATGAGTCCCATACCAGGATGAAACGGCCGTCCAGTGCTTCCAGGTTTCTAACGGTGGTCTAACATTGATCGATTCGTTGTTTCAATAAAACTTAACGATCTTCACAACCCCGTAATACAAATTACCTATGCTCATTAGTGACGACGACTAGCTTGGTGAGGAATCTTCTTCGAAATTTGGTGGGAAGACGTGACCAGTGAAGTTCAACCTGTTCGGGTGTAGACAGTAACTACCGAAGACTGTGTATGAGGTTACGCAATTACGTGAATTGATCAAGTTAGACATTAACACCGTCGGATGCCGGTCCAGTGGTCCGATGGTTAGGCGTTCGCGCACAATACCGAAGGTCCCGGGTTCGAATCCTGAGGGATGTAGGAGTCGTGGATGCGCACTGCTGATGAGTCCCATACCGGGACGAAACGGCCGTCGTCCAGTGCTTATGGGCTTCTATCGGTGGTGGTCTAACAATGATTGATTGATGACTTCAAATGTGTAAAAACTCTTTTTATATAAAATCCCTTTTCGCCTAATAGAGCATAGACCACCGATCAACATTCTCCAACCTAGACTATCTTGGACCTTCCTTTCGAGTTGCCGTTTATTCTTTTCATGTCTGCCTTCAAAACTCGGTGTAATGTGTTCTTTAGTCTTCCTTTTTTCGTTTCACCTTGACGATTCTAAGCAAAGGTTTGTCTTGTGATACAGTTGTGAGCTTCCCTTAATGTGTGTCCTATTCACTTCCACCGCTTCTTCATAATTTATTTCTCAAATAGAATCTGGTTTGTTTTCTCCCAGAGTAGGTTTTTGCTGATGGTGTCTAATCAACCGATCCTTAGCATCTTGTGTAAACAACTGTTATTAAACACCTGTCGCTTTTGGATGATGTTTCTAGCAGTAGTTCTCCAAGTTTACACTTCGTACAATAGAACCGGTTTTACGTTCGTATTGCAGCTTCTGACTTCCGTTATTGGCTGACAGACAGTTGTAAAGAGTTCCAGATGTTCTTCAATTGTGGAAATACTCCCCTCCCTTTGCTTATCTGTGTCTTCACATCTGAATCAGTTCTACCATGTTTATCTATGATGCTGCTTAGTTATGTAAACATTTCCACATCTTCCACAGCTTCTGGATCAAGTGTGATTTGGTTGATGAATGTTGTGTTTTATCGAAGGATGTTGCTTTCCCTCCTTGTACGTTGAGACCTATTGCTGCTGCACTAGCCGTCTTCTCCTGCACTTGTTGTTGTGTGTGGAAGAGAAGAGCTAGATGTCCAATGTATTCTGTGATGCCCTTGAGATGTTGAAGTCTTCATAATCCAATCCATCTCTAGAAGAAATAGAAAAGTGAGTGTAAGGAACCTTGTCTTATACCGGTCTTCACTTGGAACATGTCTGTGAGCTGTCCTCCACGCGGTGTCCTAAAATCTTTCAGTGTAGTTCACCGTAAGCATTCCTCATGATGTTGACTATATTCTCTAAGGCACGTCATAGTGTTAAAAAAGCCTCCATAATCTCTGTACAAATAACAAGGAACCAATTAGGATTGTATTTCAAATTCAGACAAAATTTCTATACTTTTTTGAGATTTTATATTATTCAGTACTCTATGATCAATAAGGTTTATTTTAGTTTTCATCTTGAATGGACAAAACAGAATCATGTTCATAGAATATTACTTCAGTTTGTATTTCATTTGATTCTGTTCATAACTAAACCAAATTTCAACATATTTAACTGAATAATGGGAGATATGACGTAACAGAACTATTGGATGCCTAGTTTATTTTTCATCACCGAATTGGATATTCAAACTATACATCACATAGAGGCTAGATTAGATTACACGATCCACAATCAACTTAGGAAAACTAGAGTTGCGTGTGGAAGAGAAGAGCTAGATCATCTGTGAAGTCCGAACCACATTGTTGCATATGAGATGTCCACTGTATTCTGTGATGCTCTTGAGATGTTGAAGTCTTCACAATCCAATCCATCTCTAGAAGAAATAGAAAAGTAAATGTAAGCAACCTTGCCTAATACCGGTCTTCACTTGGAACGTGTCTGCGAGCTGTCCCCCATGTAGTGTCCTCCCAGGCACGCCATAGTGTCAAAAAAGCCTCCATAATCTCTGTACAAATAACTAAGAACTAATTAGGTTTGTATTTCAATTTCACACAAAATTTCTATACTTTTTTAAGATTTTATATTATTCAGTACTCTATGATCAATAAGGTTTATTTTAGTTTTCATCTTGAATGGACAAAACAGAATCATGTTAATAAAATATTACTTCAGTTTGTATTTCATTTGATTCTGTTCATAACTACATTAAATCTCCAACATATTTAACTGAATAATGGGAGATATGAAGTAACAGAATTACTGGATGCCTAGTTTATTTTCCATCACCGAATTGGATATTCAAACCATGCACCACACACAGACTAGATCAAGTCAAACTAGATTACACGATCCACAATCAACTTAGGAAAACTTGAGTTAGTGATATGCAATATTTTATTCTACATGATGATTACAGGCAGTTGTTATGCGCTCAATGAATCCAGAGTTAGAAATCAATAAATACAAGGAAATGAAATCACCTATTGAATAATAGTCTGTATTATAAGCTGTGCCTGTTTGTCCACGCTCTATGACCAATCACATTTTCCTTTTTAACGGCTTCACATCAAAATCAATGTCACATTCTGTAAATGAATACCCTTTTAAAAGATATTTTTCTGTTTAACATGACAGATTAGATTTATTGAATGTAGAATCTTAGAAAATATCCTTGTCTCTGAAATGTTATTTCAGTGGTAGAATCAAAAATTACAGTAAGGAAAGTAAACAATCGCCTATCAGAAGGGATTAACAAGTCAAACAAATTTTTCGAAAATTTAGTTAACGTTTTAGTGAATAAAATTCGTTTCAAATGTAAATTGACAGTTGAAATCACGAATTGATCTTAGCTAGATAATCACTGAATAGTTGTAGTGTGGGATTCCTCAGTAGTTCACATTTTCAACTTCGAATGTAGGGATCGAACCCAGGACTTTCGGTTTCGTGTGCGAACGCTTAATCTGTAGAATAGTGAGTCGGCATCCAACGGTGTTGATTTCTAACATTGTGGTGCGCGACCCATCATTCCTTGTATGTGGTGACTAGCTTTCTGATATCCGACACATATTGACACCCTTAGGCGTTGGCTCAGTAGTCTAGAGGTAAAGTATACACATGTGAGACTGAATATTCTAGGTTTGGGTGGATGTGCGTTGCTGACGAGTCCCATAACAGAATGAAACTGTAGTTCAGTAGTTAGACGTTTGCAATGAATGGCCTAGTTAAGTTCAATTCGTGATTTCAGCTGTGAAGATATTCAGTCTGTTAGTCAAGAACAACATAGAAATTCGTACGTACGTACATCAGTTCAAGTTGTCATACCACATTAGCACAAAGACAGATGTAATTGTCACTTCAAATCCCATAGTAGTAGAGGTAGTATAGTGAAGGAGAACACAGGTGAGGGCAACCGAATTGTATTTAACGAAAATTACAGAGTTACTCAGTAAAATCGGAAAGCCATATCGTAAATCGTTCATTTGCAAAATATCAGTCCATCCTATCGAACTGGACTGTTCCTGTTGCCAAAACATCAATCCATTGTCACTGTTCATGGGTTTCATACAAATTCCATTGTGTTCTAACTCTTCCTTTCTTGGTGTTCCCCCATCTTCTGCTGCCAGATATTACGTTGACACTCACGTCATATACTACTTCTAAGTAGCTCGCACCACAGTAGTAGAAGTATTAGCAGTTATCGGAGAGATAAGGGTTCGACGATATTATTCAAGAAGTAGAATCAAGTGAAATAAACTTAAAAAGAAAGAGATAAAGGTGATGAGGAATCCACAGAGTTAGGATTTGAGAGAACACAAAGAATGAATGCACATGCGCTTTTGCAAACGGTTTTGATCCATGTCATTCAGAGTCTCCAACCATCGATTACCATCATATCGCGGGCCTCGACCGGGTGGTCTTCACCTACCAACATGACTCAATACAGTTGTTAGTGACTTCATGGATTTCTGCCATGTTTTGGTCTGGCCGCCCCTAGCCTTCTCACAACCTATTCTTACATCGCAAAGCATAGCGCGACCTGTTTCATAACGACAGCATTGCTTACTCGGTTGTCCCAGGATACACGAGAAATACTTCTGAGATACCTATGATCGAAAACCAGCAACCTACGAATATCTCCTACTCTTACTGTGCATGTTTCACAGCCATAAAATAGGACGGAGCGCAGTAGACTGATCCTTTAGTGAGAAAACAGATATCTCGTCTACGCTATAAGTGATGCAGGTTAACGAAAGCCAATCAAGCCTTCTGTAATTGTGCTGAGCTTTTGTCAGTCACCAGGCCACCAGCACTGATGAGACTCCCGTCGTAAATGAAGCGGTCAACATTGCGTTATGAAGATATTACAACCTCCACGAATCCCTATATCAAGCGCAAATTTATTTCACTGGATTATACTTCTTGAATAATATCTTCGAACACCCTAATCTTTTTAATTACTGCTTATAATTCTACTTCCTCTAATTCCATGGGATTTGAAATGATAATTCTATCTCTGTGGTAATGTGATATGGCACAGTTCTACGTTGTTTCCAACTGACTGTCGGACTGCTGATAGGATTTAAATTTCATGGATTATTGACTAGCCAAAATAAATAAGATCTAATTATAAGACTTACTTTTCTAACCTCTTTATCACAACATAAACCTTAGCATAATGAAGTTAGGTAATACCGAGCAATGAGATCCAAGGTGTGACTTTCGTCCGATTAAGGACTAGTCAGTCAGATGTAGTGATGCTCAGACACTTACTTACTTACTTACTTACGCCTGTTACCCACAATGGTGCATAGGCCGGACATCAGTTTTCTCCAACCAACTCTGTCCTGGGCATCCGTTTCTAGTTCTGTCGAATTTTTGTTCATTCCTCTCACATCTTTCTCTGTTTCTCGGCGTAATGTAATCCTTGGCCTTCCTCTTTTCCTTTTGCCTTGAGAGTTCCAAGTGAGTGCTTGTCCTGTGACGCAGTTAGGTGCTTTTCGTAGTGTGTGTCCTATCCACTCCCACTGCTTCTTCTTCCTGATTTCCCCCTCCACTGGAATCTGGTTTGTTCTCTCCCACAGTACGTTGTTGCTGATCGAAGTATTTTGCGCAGACAACTGTTAATAAACACTTGCTTCTTCCGGATGATGGCTTTGGTAGTTCTCCAAGTTTCCGCTCCATACAGTAGAACTGTCTCGACATTTGTATTGAAAATCCTGATTTTGGTTTTGGTTGAAAGTTGTTTGGAGTTCCAGATATTTTTCAACTGTAGAAATGCAGCCCTTGCTTTGCCAATCCGCGCCCTCACATCCACCTTGATTGTCGATGATTCTGCCAAGATATGTAAAGGTGTTATTGTCCTCCAAGGCATCTGCATCAAGAGTGATTTGGTTGGTGCATGTTGTGTTGCATCGGAGAATTTTGCTTTTTCCTTTATGTATGTTGAGACCTACTGCTGCAGAGGTTGCTGCTACACTGGTCGTCTTCTCTTGCATTGATAACACTGTATAGTGTTACTTAATTACTAGTCAAGAATAAAAATATATAAGCAGATATTGTTGAACTGACTTGTTTGGAGTTATTTAAACTAATAGTTACATAATCAATCAGGCTGATTAAGTGCGCATACTGAAATCATGAATGAAGCATTATTAGACTACCACCATTTAAAACCTGGAAGCTTGTCTCGTGACGCAGTTAGGTGTTTTTTTTCGTAGTGTGTGTCCTATCCACTTCCACCGCTTCTTCCTGATTTCCTCCTCCACTGGAATCTCGTTTGTTTTCTCCCACAGTACGTTGTTGCTGATGGTGTCTGGCCAACGAATGATGCTGAGACACAATGGCTGTTATTTCAAACGAAACGAACACATCTATTTTTTGCCATATATTAAGAACTCTGTTTTTAAAAATTCTAATTTGACCAGACAATCAATTATTAGCATACTCAAAAACTACTGAAAACAATTGATTTTTGCTGATAGTATGAGCTATCCAAGTTAGGAATGACATAAGTATTTGGATATAAATTATAATTTATCAGAAAAATTGATTTCCTCTTTTTGATATACATATTTTCTCATAGGTATGTCAAACTTAGTCACTGGAGACAGAAAGAATTTTCTAAACTTAGCAAAACATGTAAGTTTTATTGTTGATAATATCAATATAAAATTGAAAACAAGTAAATAATGAATGCTTTTTATATTCAAATAGATTCTCATCCAGTTTACTAGTGTTAAATAAATCTTCCTAGAGCCATTTTAGGGTGGTTACTGCTGGTCTCAAGTCTAGAAAAAGGAGAAGGGTTGACTACGAGGTTAGAAAATGAACTTGCTACAGAAAAAACGCTCAAACATAGAACATATTTATGCATAAATCAATGTGTGAATTTGTCTCATATTACCAACACCCATATCAAGGGGTTTAATTGAGTTTATGCTTAATCAAACTAAAATATAGGGTTGAACATACTATTTTATAACATAAAAAGCTCTTTTTTTCCTGAAATCATTTTTTCCCCTTTTGGAATTTAGCACTATTCATCAAACACCCATCTCATTTTACAATATTTTTTGTTTATCTACATATACTACTTAATCTTTAGGTGGATATTTGATTTCAGTAGTCTAGTATATGGGATTAACTTATGTAAATTGATTAATATATATATATATATCCAATTTACACAATCGGTTAATTAATAATCAACAAAAAAGTTGAATAAGATAAAAGTATCAAATTATGAATTTCGAAATAATGAGAATACAGTTGATGAGTCAAAAAATTAATTCTTGAAATGATAATGGATCGTTGGAGGGGGAGTATTCAAACTCAGCATCTTAAGGCAGATAAAGAGTCACCAGAAACTAATACAGGGAAACTGGAAACTCAAGTATTTCGGAAGCCAACCCACACAGACGTACTTGTCAACGACGATAGCAACAACCTCAAGAACCTACAAAATCAACTGCATACAAACTTTGTTCAAGAGAGCGAAGACACAATCCAGCACATATGAAGCATTAAAACATCTTATGACTATTTTCCAAAAGAACGGCTATCCACGTAACTTCATCAAAAAGCATCAACTGAAATTGTCAACAGAAACGAAATCAAGTACAGAAACCAATAAACGGATCATCCTACCATACATAAAAGACATATTTGAGCATACAGAACGATAAATGAAACCGTTTGAAATAGGTTTGGCACACAAACCAACAATTCACTTCAATCAATCCTATTTTGTAGATCAAAGGACAAAATGACAAAGGAAGAAAAACCAAATATCATCTACAAAATAAATTGCTCAGATTGTGAAAATCACTACATAGGACAAAGTGGACAGTCTCTTCAGCTTCGTTTATGTGAACACCAATTAGTAGTCACACGTCACGACAGTTCTTAACGTGTATCAATACACACGGACAATTATGGACATACTACATTCGATTGGAACAATGTGCAAATATTGGATAGGGGGGTAGGACAAAGAACACTGAAGAATTTATAGAAGCTTGGCACTCAGGTTAATCAGCAATCAAAAAACACATCGACATTGACCCAATTTATCAAATAATCAGAAAAATCATAAACAAACATTGGATCAAGAAACAGATGAAAATGGGGATACAATCAAAACAAAGGTGCAAACAACGACCGGTTTAATTAAGGTCAATGACAGCAACCAATCAAGGTGGAGGTTAACAGAACAAGCTACAGGTGAAACGTGGAGGAGAAATTCGAATACTTCACTTCGTCAACCTGAGGTTTGTGCTGATGATGATTTTGTTCAGCAGAAGAAAAATGAAGGAAGCTGTACAACCAAAACAACCAGCTTAGAGAACGAAACACCACCACAGATAAAGAGTCAATTCACTTAGACCATTTTGACCAATCTTGAGCTATGCCATCTAACATATCAAACTATTATTCACAACAATTCTGGATATCTGAACTAAATAGCTTGGTATTTTGGCGGCCTTGACTTAAACAATCAGAATTAAGATAACATTTCATATAGTGTGAACGAAATTCGAAGTGAAATATTCAACAAATTGTATAATGTGTAGGAGACGGGATCGAACTCCGTTGGGAAATGATGGAGGTATACGATAGATCACCCGAAAAGATCTAGATTTATCTACAATGTGACCACTATCTACCAGGTGTGCTAAGATAGAACTGCGTATTGTTTTTGACTGACCCTTCGTAAACCATGCTGGGAGATGTTCACTCATTCGTTGTGTAAGTAGCCTGGAAGTACGCCCGATATAGCTATCTCCACAGGAGCAGCTGAATTTGTAAATGCACAAGTTTGGCTGCCAAACTTGCATTGACTTTCTCCAGTCGACCAGCGATGTCTACCCAAACGAAGCATATATATATATATATATATATATATATATATATATATATATATATATATATATATAGCTGATATCAGTTTATAATGAAATCCTGTAGTGTTTGTACCGATGTGTCGAACCCATAGGGCTTGTCCCAGCCTTTTTGATAAACCAACTCATCCATTCTTCTCGAATCATCATTCTTAACACGTCTTTCGACCTTGCCAACAATTCGCTTACATCTTGGTCGTTTTTATTCATGTATGTGTGTACATCAAAAAACAGGTCTGGACAATTTTTATCTGACTGTAAATTCTTAGTCATGTCTCATCTCATTGAGTTGGATCAATTTTAGTGGCTCGCTATTGGACTCCAATGTGGACGATTGATGATGAGATGCTACACAATCAACTTCTCCGCTTCGCTTTGCTTTAGCGCTCTGTATCCGCATGTCTGTCTGAATGAACGATTGTATAGAATAAACTCATCCAACTGAATCCATATTTGGTTTCTTCTTATCGCCATTGCACAAACGGGGTTCATCTAAGCATAATATAAAGAAATTGAAGGGAAGATTTATTTCACCGCATACTTGATCGTCCAAATTAAAGTCAGATCTCGAGCCACTAAATTGATGAACCTTACTTCAAATTTAACACAGTCCCCAGAATCCCTAGCACTAATTTATCAACTGAACTCCAGATTAATTTTTAATACGTAATTCTAATCTTTCTGAATGATAATTGATGTCAGCTGATGACGAAAACTCTATTGAGTGATAACACTATTTTGTAATCCTAGTTTGACTCAAGATATGTACAAGTAACCCTTTTATTACGAGGAATAATTTTACGTTTGAGGTTCAGTTATTCTCCTATTCTTCTTTCACACTGTTTTTTATCGTTAATCATTTTATAACTGGGCAACGTTTCGTGATTGGCTGATAAGTCGCTCAAGGTCGTCACTATAAATTTACTTGAACCAATAGTCTTTGAATAAGATAATCGAATTGTTAATGAGTTCATAGACTGATACAATCCTTTGGTTTAACCATCCTCATTCATTTTCTAAGTTTACTTTCTTCACCTTGAGAAAGAGGATTATCATGTTTACGTATTAAACATCTAAGCAGCCTTATTCGGTGAAGAATAAAGTTAATCTCTATCTGTCTTTTATATAATAACAAGAATGAAACTGATGATAATTTATTTGATGAGTAAACTGAATAATGATTAGGTTTTTGATACTAAAAAATCTTAATGTTATTCGTTATCTAATTGAAGTTTGAACAATGATTTTAGCAACAAAAATCTAGTTTTTTCTAACAAAATTTGTGACAATATAAAATTACTATTTTGTTCATCTGATTGGGAAAAAAGACACTGAGTTACTACTGGCAAGGCAAGGTCATTAACTTTAAAAGGAGAAAGATATCAGTCATTACAGTACTATACTACTTGTAAACTTTTTAAGTAGTATAAAGTATTAGTAAATCTACTATCGTGTTCTTATTTATACCAAAAAGTTTCCCATGCTATACACAATCAGTGTCAGTTTAGGAAGAATTTAGTCGAACATGGTATTTGATAAAATATGACTATTGACAGTATCTACTGTCTATCACCAACATGTAATTTATTGACTGATTTGTAATCGAATGATCAAATGTCAATTTTTGATGTTTAATCATACTTTACAATAATGGTGGTTTAAAAAACCATTCAAATGTTTCAATTGAGACATTATGTATATCGTTAAATTAATAAATTGCATGCATTAGAACGAGAACGATTGTTAATAGAATGAAAATACAACAGTGGTGTAGATTGTTACAAATGACATTGATGTTACAAGATTAATGTTTTAAGGCTTATGTAAGAAAGTAAGTCAACATTTTTCAAGTTATAACAACTACCAATATACTAAACAAACACACCTTAGTTCGTTGATGTTTTTTTGCTGAAGTGCAAACATCGGATTAAGATATTATTTTATCGTAACTATAATATATAATGGACCAATCAAATCACTCTTGATGGAGATGCCTTGGAGGACGTTAACACCTTTGCATATCTTGGCAGCATCATCTACAAGAAAGGTGGATCCGATTCAGATGTGAGGGCGCGGATTAGCAAAGTAAGGGATGTATTTCTACAGTTGAAAAATATCTGCAACTCCAAACAAATATCAATCAACACCAAAATCAGGATTTGCAATACAAATGTCAAGGCAGTTCTACTGTATGGAGCGGAAACCTGGAGAACTACGAAAGCCATCATCCGGAAGATGCAAGTGTTTATTAACAGTTGTCTACACAAAATACTTCGGATTCGTTGGCCAGACACCGTCAGCACCAACGTACTGTGGGAGAGAACAAACCAGATTCCAGTGGAGGAGGAAATCAGGAAGAAGAAGCAGTGGGAGTGGATAGGACACACACTACAGAAAGCACCGAACTGTGTCACAAGACAAGCCGTCACATGGAACCCTCAAGGCAAAAGGAAAAGAGGAAGGCCAAGGAACAAATTATACCGAGAAATAGAGAAAGATATGAGAGGAATGAACAACCATTGGATAGATCTGGAAAGGGAAGCCCAGGACAGAGTTGGTGAGAGAAAACTGGTGGGTGGCCTGTGCTCCATTGGGGGTAACAAGCGAAAGTAAGTAAGTAAGTAAGTAAGTTAGTAAGTAAGTAAGTAAGTAAGTAAGTAAGTAAGTAAGGTAATAAGAAGCCAAATACGAATTTGCTTGGTTTAGTTTATTTCAAGTAATCGTTCATGCAGACAGACATGAGAATACAAACCATAAAAGTAAAGCGAAATAAAGTGGAAAATAAGGAGAGTAAGCCAACTAAATATGAGTTAGTCCAACATATGGTAAGCGAAGTCAAATGTACACATACACACTTGAATAAAATCAATCAAGATCTAAACGAATAATTGATAAAGTTGAAAGATGAGAGAATTGTAGTTTAGGCAGGAAAGATTGACTAGTTTGTCCGAAAGTTGGAACAAGTCATTTGGCCACAACATGTTAGTACAAACACTACATATTCTAGATAATTAGATACAATCAGTTTCCACTCATTATAACGATCTTCGTTATTATAAAAATAATGATCGTGTTGTTAGAAAAATCACAGTAAACACTTCACAATCGAACTAGAGTGAAGGAGAATACAGGTGAGGACAACCAAATTGTATTTAACGAAAATTACAGAGTTACTCAGTAAAATAGGAAAACCATATCACAAACGGTTAATTTGCAAATCTTCAATCAATCATCAATCCATTGTCTGACATTTCACCACTATTAATGCTATTTCATAAAAATTCCATTGTGTTCCCCCCACTCTTCCTTTCTCTTGATCTTCCCCCATCTTCTGCTGTCACCAGACATTACGTTGACACTCACGTCATATACTACTACTTATAAGTAGCGAGCACCACAAAACTATCTAATTCACAAGAACACCACATTTCATCAATAGCAATCCATCTAACCCTAAGAATCTTATTTATCACAGAGATTTTTATACATTGAGCGAGTATTTCCAAAGATTCATTGTTTCACATTATCTTCTAATTGTATTTATCAATCTGTTTTTGTTCAATACACTACTGTTTTTTTTTCTAGTGGTTTCATATGGAACGTATCAATCCATTGAAATTACATGATGAAAATTTGCTATTAGGTGGATTCTCATTGAAATCACTGTTATTCTCACGTGATTGTTATACTACTAATAATACTACTAATAACAATAATCAAGCAAGCATCAATCAATTCATTCTAGATGTATGGAATGAATTGACCAAATTAATTGACCAATCAAAAATTGATCCATTCATTGATAGTCAATGGTATATAGATGAGGTAAGTGATTTTACATTGATAATAATAGTAATAATCGGCACATTACGGGGTTGTGAAGATTGTTAAGTTACACATTTTTGAAAGAAACCATGGATCGATCAATGTTAGACCATCAGCATTAGAATGCCTGGAAGAAGCACTGAAACACGGCCGTTTCATCCTGGTATGGGACTCATCAGTACAAGTGCGCATCCACGACTCCTGCACCTCGCAGGATTCTAACTCAGGACCTTCGGTATTGTAGGCGAACGCCTAACTATCGGACTACTGAGCTGGTATCTAACGGTGTTAATGTCTAACTTGGAAAATGCACGGAGTTGCGCATTAACACCGTTAGATACCTGCTCAGTGGTCGGATAGTTAGGCGTTTGCCTACGATTCCGAAGGTCCTGAGTTAGAATCCTTTAAGGTGCAGGAGTCGTGGATGTGCACTGCTACTGATGAGTAGTCCCATACCAGGATGAAACGGCCGTCGAGTGTTTCCAGGTTTCTAATGGTGGTCTAACATTGATCGATTCATGGCTTTAAGAATAAGATAATAATGATACTGGTCATAAAATAGAAGACCTATTGAATATCCAATTGATTTGGTTATTGTCAGTTTTGAACGACATGGCTCAAAATCGTTTGCAATGGCGCAAGTGCATCCATTCGTTGTGCTCTCTCAAATCCTAATCTTCTGGATTCGTCAGCACCTCTACCCTTGTTTTTCTAACCTTATTTCACTGAATTATACTTCTTGAATAATATCTTCGAACCCCCTAGTCTTCTTCATTACCATTAATACCTCTACTATCTTTATCACTATGGGATTTGATTTGACATTTGCATCTCTGTGTTAATGTGGTATGGCAACATGAAATTATGTACATACGTACGAAGTTCTTACTTTGCAACTGACTGACTGACTGAATTTAAGGAGGAAATTTTCTTTCGTGTTATTTTGTTTTATTGTGATGATGATGATGATGATACGTATCAAAGTGTATCATTGGTTAATTAGCGATGTCGGGTGTAAGACAATGCATGGATGCATGCATGTAAACAGGTCATTTTGATATGCTTGAAATGATTACGAGTTTATCCTAGTCAGTAAATGAGAGGGAGGATCGATGATCCGGTGACACGACGGGCTAGTCTAGTTGGATTGTCCCAAACCTCCATTGAGTTAAAAGAAAAAGAAGACTTGATATGAAGTAGAACATGTATTCTACAAGCATTCAGAAAGTACAAGGTCCGAGTTCAGAAGAGAATCAAGATCCCGGACTAGGAACCCGGGTCCAAGTCCGGGTCATAAAATGTTACAGATAGTGCGTATTTATACAGTTAGGTCGAATAGGCAACAACATTTGATTTATATGACGTTGACAGTTAAGTCGACCAATAGGAAAAAACATTTGAAGTGACATTGATAGTCAGGACGACCAATAAGAAACAACATTGTAGTACGTGACATTGATAGCTAGGACGACCAATAAGAATTGACCATTAGAATTAGACTTACAAAATAATTCTTCTTAGGATATTTGATAAATATCCTAACAGTTGTGAAATATAGTGAACTGATTACAATTAGATAGTAGTACCATTGGATGTCAGATCGGTGGTTTAGAGATTAAGCATTCTTGCGCCAGACCATAAGTGTTGATTTCAATGCCACATTGCAGTCGAAATCGATGCGCACTTCTGTGAAGTTTGATAGACCATTATTATAATCGTCTGAATAATCCATAAATTACTGTTGTGTAATTTATTATTCCTAATTTACTGCTAGTTTGTTATTCATGATTTCCCCTATTCACAAACACTTTTGGCTCACTCATGTATAAAGTCTCATACTTGGACGAAACTTCCATGCAGTGCTCATAGGTTTCTTTAACGGTAGTCTAACATTGATCGATCTATGGTTTTAATAAAATTTAGCAATCGCGACAACCCAATAAGCAAAATGAATATTGATAAGGAAGTTCATTTAAATGGACTGTCGTTATGATATTTTTTAAAACCCACTAACGACATATAATAAACGAATCTTGATTATTACTATCGTGGTGCGAGCTACTTATAAGTAGTATATGACGTGAGTGTCAACGTAATGTCCGGTGGCAGCAGAAGATGGGGGAAGATCAAGAAAGGAAGAGTTAGAACACAATGGAATTTGTGTATGAAACGCATGAATAGTGACAATGGATTGATGTTTTGCAACAGGAACAGTCCAGTTCGATATGATGAACCGATATTTTGCAAATGAACGATTTACGATATGGTTTTCCGATTTTAATGAGTAACTCTGTAATTTTCGTTAAATACAATTCGGTTGCCCCACCTGTGTTCTCGTTCACTACACTATTACTATGAGGTAGAATGAAACCCTATAACATACGTATATCACAAAACATCATACATACGGGAAGTTGTTGTATTTCAAATATGGTCCTTAAATGAATTGTTTGACTTTAAAGATATAATTACCGAACATTAACTCTTTCTAGTTCAACAGGTTTATAGATATCAAATTACAACAAACGGAACATTTCAATTATAAACACTTTTAAATATTTCTAGTGTAAATAATTACAGTCCAAATGTATATAGGAAATTATAGAAAACAAGTAATATAAGTAGTATAGAACTCCTCCTTAGTAATATATATAATACATGAATAATTCGCTCAATAATTAAATCCAATTGATATGACTAACAATTATATTTCTAACATAGTTGAACTCTACCAATAATATTTTCCTATTTAAAGAAATTAATGATTATTGAGTCAGTCAGTCAGATGCAACGTAGAACTTCGTACGTAAGTACATCAGTTCATGTTGCCATGTCACATCAACACAGAGATATAATTGTCAATTCAAATCCAATAGTAGTAGAGGTAGTAAAGGTATTAGAAGTAATAGGAGAGATTAGGATTAGAAGATATTATTCAAGAAGTATAATTCAGTGAGATAAGTTAAGAAAGTCAAAACTAGAGGTGTTGAAGAATCCAGAAGATTAGGACTTGAGAGAACACAGAGAATAAATGCACTGGTGCCATTGCAAACGATTTTGAGCCATGTCATTCAGGGTATCTAACCATCGATTATTATCATCTTGCAGACCCCAACCAGGTAGTCGACAATTACCAACATGTCTCAGTCCACTAGTCAATGACTTCATGGATTTGTGACATGTTTTGGTTTGGCCGCCCCTAGCTTTCTTCCAGCCTATTCCTACACTACAAAACAAAGCTCTTGGAGGCAGTCGTTGGTTAGGCATACGTAACACATGTCCCAAACACCTCAACTAATGAAGTTTCATTACCGCATATATTGATCTGCCATTCTTACCTAGTACCCGTTTCCTAATAACAGCGTTGCTCACTCAGGTGTCTCATGGTACACGAGCAATGTTTCGAAGACACCTATGATTGAAAACCAATAACCTACGAATATCTTCTACTCTCACTGTCCACGTTTCACAGCCATAAAGTAAGACGGAGCGAACTACTGCACAGTACACTCGTCCTTTAGTCAGCAAACGGATATCTCGCCTACCGCCATAAGTGACGCAAGTTGGCAAAAGCAAATCGAGCCTTCTGTATCCGAGCTGAGATTTCGTCAGTCACCAGGCCATCGGAACTGATGAGACTCCCAAGATAAGTGAATTGGTCTACACGTTCGACCACTTCACTCCCTATCACTAGTTCAGGTGCCGATTCAACCCAATCTTGAAGCAACATTTTGCATTTCGAGGGTGAGAACCGCATCCCGAACATGCTTGCATTGTTGCTCAAGGTGGTCAGAAGACTCTGGATTTTGTCAGCATCTTCACCAAGTAGGACTATGTTATCGGCATATTCTAAGTCAATAAGCGAACCGCCTGGTAGAAGGTGACAATTGAGTAGAGATGGTTAATACTAATAATTCGTAGAGATTATTTAGTTTGAATATATGAACTCTTATAGTAATTTCTATGTTTACTGACTAAAGCTGATTAGATTCATTAAGTTAATAAAATTTAGATAATCAACTCATCAAGAATGTTGGTCAGAATAGTATTGGGACTGTTGAGAAAGTTGAAAACAAAAAACGAACTTCACCAATCATGACACAGTCTTTATTGACTTAATCAACAAAAGTAATCGGTAATTTTATTCATTAAAACAATTTTAAACATGAAATATTTTTGATTTCTATTCATGTCATTCATGACATATTTTAGCGCCAAATTTTTTTTTCAAATTCAAACTCAAATTCAAATTATGCCTATTTTCTTATTGTAGACTAAAGAAGCTATGATGCGTTTACAAGAAAGAAAAAATATTGGTAAAGTTGTTTTAATTCCTAAATTGAAAGAGAAAAAAGTGAGTTTAACAAGAAAGAGGCTGTTCCATTCTATTTATGTTACGCCGATCATTCTGTGTTTTCATGAGTTAATACTATTTCAAAATATTTATAAGCTCACTAGTGACTAGCTTTATGAGTAAATTCTTGGAGTTCTAGTGAGAAGATATGACCGGTGGAGTTCAACCCTGTCGGGTGTAGGCAGTAACTACCAAAGACAAATGGGTGAGGTCGCACAAAATCTCTAGATTAATCAGAGTTAGACATTAACACCGTAAGATACCAGCCCAGTGGACTAGATGTTAGGCGTTCGAAAGTAAGACCGAAGGTCCTGGGTTTGGATCCTGTGAAGTGCAGGGGTCGTGGATGATCACTGCTTATGAGCCCCATTGTGGGACGAAACGGCCGTTCAGTGTTTCCAGGTTATTAATGGTGTCCTAACAATAATTGACTGATGATTTCAATCTCTAAGTTTCTATGTAAGATAATTTCCATTATTTAGGAAAGTAAAATATAGTACAAACTGACGAATTACATTTTATTTCTGTAAAGTTTTCCATGTGATGAACATGATGATGTGTTTAATTGAAATCATGAATTAATCAGTATTAAGTCATTATTAGAAACCTGGAAGCATTCTATGGCTGTTTCGTCTTAGTATATAACTCATACTCAGTGCACAGCCACGATCCCGCTAGCGGAAATTGAACCTAGGTCAAACAAGCAAACGCTTAACCTCATGATCACTGAGTTGGCATTCAATATGAAGCAGCCATTGAAGAAATAGGTAATGATCATTGAGGGAAATATTAATCTTTAATTTGTGGTAGACTTTATAATCATAAACATAGTAATTTGCGTTCAGAGAAACTAATTAGCAAATGACAATTAATTTAAAAATTATATTCAAGAACAGATAAATTACAAAGTTGTAGTAATCAGTCCATCATTAAGTAAACATGTCTGATTGATCAATACCTGAGAGTTTATTTCGATCGACTACATAAGACAAATATTGATTTTAGTTGAATTTTCAAACAAAATAATCGTAAAGGAAGTTCATTTTTTGTTATAATGCAAAATAGTGACACTTGATTTGTGACTTAAAAACTCAATATCGAGGACTAAATGTTAGTCACTGAATACCTAAGCATATTCAGATGAAATTATTTGTGTCTAATGTCGATAAAATGAGGATGGATAAATAATCCCAACTGCTTAAACAACACCTTCCAAAAATAATTTATTAACATCTAAACAGCTGTAAGCTAATATCGATCGAATACGTTAAGGCTAGCAGTTTAATCTTAAAGCAAGATGTTTCATGATTGGCTATCTGTTGCATCCTTAACCGTTAATCAATATCACGTGACAAACAGAAAACACCAATCAGAATCACGTTAGTACCAGAAACCATGAGTCAGATATTAATCCATATCGATCCACAACTCGTTGGCTGCTTTCTTTCTATTTTGCATTTTACTCCCGAAGTCCGTAGCCAGTCTTCACAAAATTCTGAATTAATTCCAGCAGACATACATTTGGTATCAAATATATGACACCATAGAACGGGAAAATACATTTATGAATGAGTGAGCTAATAGTGGTTGTGAATTATTGACTGCAGTTAGTTAGGAATAATAAGTCACACAATAGTAGTTTATGGGTTAATCAGAAGAAAGAATATATATAGTCTAGTTACATAATAGTTATACAACAAGGTCATGTCCAATAATAATAATTCATAAATCGGTGTTGGAAGTTACCATTCCTCGGGCCTTCTTCTTGGTATAGGATTATCTGAACTCAATAGCTACTGGGTTCATGACCCAGAATGAACATCAACTCAGAGATACACTTATATCTAATTGACCAGTTCTAAAAAGGATGAACTAAGCATCCTGCATTCTAATTCTAGACATATTTCATTTACTTGATGTATGTAAGCTTATGTCATAATAACTAGATTGAAACAATCCGCAAACGATCTCCGGATACCAACCAAATATGATTAAACTTTGATCAAAGAGATAATCCAATCAGTATAAGAATTATTTCGATAAGATTGATTTACATGTCGATAAATCTAACCGATGGCGGATAGAGATTACTTATAGTCAGAAGTTTGAATGGTATATGTATGAACTGAACTGCACATCCTAATTATTTTGTATGATTCTAATTTTAGGCTGAAGAAGAAGTTGCACTTGAGAATACTGCCAAACCGACAACAGATGAGACATCAACAAATTCAACAGCGAAATAATCCATTTCATAAGAATTACTGCATTACATAATAATAGTTATAATAATATAAAACTGCTTGATCTGTTATGTGTTTTGTCTTCCCGTAATCATCATTTATGTCATCATTTGTGCAATAATGTGTGCTAAATTATCCAAAATTTCTTCTGCATAAAGCGAATCCAAAATATATTTCAAGAAAATAAGAAAAAGAATTATAGACTTCGTGAATTTGTCATAGATCTGAATTTCGCATACAGCCATGACTCTCCCGCTCTTACTCGTTCGCTCGCTCTCTCTCCAAAACTATTTTATTGATATATGTTGTGAAGATCTATTGAGGTGATCATGATAAATACACATTCTTGTCGTTTGTCTAAAATTGTGATTTATCATTCCATTTGTTCAATGTTATTTTTTTTTAATCAGAAATATTCATCCTGTTTTGTTTTTTGTTTTGTTTTGTTGCGTTTCGGTTTCGTTTTGGTTCGAATAAACAAACTATTGATTTGTCATGTTAAATGTTCAATGTTATATGTGATATTTGTTTTGTTATTATTATTTTAAATAGTTTTATTATTATTATTATTTTTTCCATTCTTCATTTATTTGTTTGTTTAAATTGGTGGTTATATTTGTCAATAAAATTATAAATATTATAATTTATTTGTTAATTGGTGCGGGAAACAATTTTAAACTTACTTTTACAATCATAATGTTACAGGTTTTGTGATAATTATTATTTCTCATTTGAGCGTTTCCTTAACAACAAACATCCTCTCTTATTAGAATAGTGAGTTCAAATGTCAAGTATGCATACAATCGGGAAATTGAAATCCAATCGTTTTGAGTTAAAATAGAAAAATATGTTGAAATCATCAATCAGTCATTGTTAGACAACCTTTCAGAAACGTGGAAGAACTGGCAGGGTGTTTCATCCTGGTATGTGACTCATTAGAAATGCGCATCCATGACTGCTGCTACTTACAGGAGTACAATGTGCTCACTAGTGACTAGGTTGGTAAGGAAATTCTCGGAGTTCTAGTGAGATGTGACGAGTGAAGTTCATCCCTGTCGGGTGTAGACAGTAAATACCAAAGGCAAATGGGTGAGGTCACGCGAAATCCCTAGATTGATCAGAGTTAGACATTAACACCGTCAGATATCGGCCCAGTGGTGCAGAAGTTAGTCGTTCACGCACAAGATTGAAGGTCCTGTGTTCGAATCCTGCATACTACCAATGGGTTCCATTGTGGGACGAAACGGCCTTCGAGTGCTTCCAGATTTCTAATGGTGGTCTAACGATGATGGATTGATGATTTCAATGTCAAAAAACACTGATCTCTATAACTCTGATTGAACAAAATATGTACTATTGTGGTGCGAGCTACTTATAAGTAGTATATGACGTGAGTGTCAACGTAATGTCTGGCAGCCGAAGATGGGGGAAGATCAAGAAAGGAAGAGTTAGAACACAATGGAATTGGTGTATGAAACGCATGAATAGTGAAATGTCAGACAATGGATTGATGTTTTGCAACAGGAACAGTCCAGTTCGATATGATGGACTGATAATTTTCAAATTAACGATTTACGATATGGTTTTCCGACTTTACTGAGTAACTCTGTAATTTTCGTTAAATACAATTCGGTTTCCACCACCTGTGTTCTCGTTCACTACACTATGATTAAAATGTTAGCTTGAAATTATTCTCTACCTGGAGCCTTTCTGTGTTTACTGCCAGTCTCATGACCGGATAAAGCAGGAGGTTTGGGAGTGGGGTTTGCGACCCCATCCTGTAGAAATCCAATTCGCTAAAAAAAACTGCTTACCAGTAAAAGTAAATAGCTGATCGACGGCCTACACTCCATCCGAGCTAACAGGCGTAAGTAAGTAAGCTTGAAATTTTCCCACTCATTCGGATATTACAAATATATATTATTTTTATTGGTAACAATCTACGCAAAATACTTCGTATTCGTTGGCCAGGCACCATCAGCAACAACCTAAAGTGGGAGAGAACAAACCAGATTCCAGTGGAGGAGGAAATCAGGAAGAAGCGGTGGAAGTGGATAGGACACACTACGGAAATCACCTAACTGCGTCACGAGACAAGCCCTCACATGGAACCCTCAAGGCAAAAGGAAAAGAGGAAGGCCAAAGAATACATTAGGCCGAGAAATAGACAAAGATATGAGAGGAATGAACAAACATTGGTCAGAACTGGAGAGAGAAGCCTTGGACAGAGTTGGTTGGAGAAAAGTGGTGAGCGGCCTATGCTCCATCGGGGGTAACAGGCGTAAGTAAATAAGTAAGTAAGTAATCCATTCAGTACCAACATTGTTTGAAATAATCCCGCTTGATTTGATATGATGTAAGTAATAACAGAATTTAATAGCCTTAGGACATCATTTTATTTTTAATAAACTGAGAGAAACTAATGTATACCAATTTAACTTTAGAATTGTTTACATAAACAAATTTAACAAATTGTTTCTTTCAGACATTTCAGTGTTACGTAGTTGATGATAGTTTACAGTAATCGTTAAGTGTATATTCCCTGATATTTTGCACTCGTCAGCAGGACCCATATACAATTGTGGAGGAACTGATGCTCTATGTACGATTCAATCTGCAGTCACTGAGCTTTAAAGAATGGATCATCAGTAATCTATTCTAGCCAAAATATTACCAAGTGCCAGCTATCAAGAAACCTTGGAGTAAGGTTCCTTAAAACATGTACCGTAACTATTAAGTCACAACATGCGTCATTCGAAATAATCGTCCTATTGCTATCTGATCGATAAAACATGATCAATATTCAAGGTCAAACAAATACGAGATTGATCACCAATCATGAACAACTGATAAATGGATGATTTCATAAAATTGATTTGTTGCTTCGAATTAAATGGATTATTCTGTGTACAGATAGTTGACACAAACAAATTATAATAAGTTCTATATATATATGTAAATTCTAATTTAATTTGTAATGGTCTTTAATATTCCCTTATTGATAGTTTGACTGAAATCTAATCACTCTGTACATTTTGCGTCGGTATTAACTCTTACGACAAAAATTAACATTGAATCGATAAAATATGACTAGGATTGGAATACAAGATGTACGTTTTATCACATTTATGACTTGTGTAAAGTTATTTGTTCTGATTAGTGTTTTTTAAGTGAATTGGTTTTCTACGGAATAGCGTGGCTAAACCCATGCACAATTTTTCTCCTTTATCCAGGCTTAGGGCCTGTAGTAACCTTAGAAGGGCTCCAGGTAGAGCAAACGGACCAGACAAAGTACAAGATGTCGCTCTGAAAGCAGACATATCAGCAATTACAAAGATGATAACACACACTCTTTAGCATGATTTGAAAGGAGTATTAAGTACCAATAAACTGGAAAGATGGACACATCCTTTTTATGTTTTCTACTTGATGTAACGCCAAACCACTGTATTAATGACCCCCGAACGTTAGACTCCCACCGTTCAAAAATAAGAAGACGGAAGACGTTGGAGAACACTTATTAACAGAATCAAAAATATACAATCAAACATGCGTATTTATACAATTATACATATAATCGATATTGTCGTTTAAATATTTGAATATTAAATCCAATAGTTCATCGATCGACTGCCCTTGAAATATTTAAGCATTTAATCGATAAGTTCATCAATCCACAATGTGCATGGCTTTCTTCTCGATTGGCTATCCCAACAATCCTGAAATTACAAAAACCATCTCAGCAAATGTGAAAACTACAGAGGCATCACTCTTCTCTCGATGCCAGGAGAGGTGTTGGGGATGTTAGATCCCCAGAACTCACTTGATAAATATCTTTATTTTGGATTTATTTCATGGGCTGATCAGTTAACCTTGAGATCACATTTCCCACCAGGGAAACCCTTGGCTGTGATTGGTTACTGTGTCATTTTAGTGTGCTATTTTGTGATGTCCCAAGGACGTCTCTATGGAGTATAAATAAACACAATCTGAGTGCTTGGATTCATTGTGTGCTGGCTGGGTGCTTGTAGAATACACTTTCTACGCTGTATCAAGACTTCTCGCTGATACAATTAGGTCAAGGGATCACAGTGGCATACCTAGACGCTGGTTCACTGTTTCGTTCTCGTAATTCGACTAAGGTGAACCCGTAATAGTTTAAGCATACTTGAGGTCGAGCATAACAAAAGGTCTTCAACAGAGTGTTAAACTGAATGAAAGATCAGTAGGCTGGACTGAGTAAGAATCGATCATGTATCGAAAAAATTGCTACACTACAAATCATTTCGGAACAATCAATTGAATGAAACTCATTATTATAAATCGGCTTCGTTGACTACGAGAAAGCATTTGATAGCGTGAAAAAGATAATAATACTATGGAGGCTGCTTCTACACTAAGGTGTACTTGAAAAGATTGTCGACATCTCTTATGGTGGACTACACTGCAAAATAGTTGATGGAGGGCTGTCCGGGGACTCGTTTCAAGTGAAGACCAGTGTCTGGCAAAGTAGCTTACTGTTACCCTTCCTCTTTCTTCTCATGGTTGATTGAATTATGAAGACTTCAACATTTCAGGAGAAGCAAGGGATCCAGTTGACAGCCTAGATGCATAGGGAGAAGTGGAAGACCAAGGAATACATCACATCAAGACTTGGAGGCAGGCAGTAAAAGAATGAATCATTAATCAATCATCATTGTTAGACCATTGATGATTGATTAATGATTTCAAATGTGTAAAAACGCAAACCTCCAAAACTGTGCCCCAATATAATGTAACAGTGCTCACTAGTGACTAGCTTCGTGAGGAAATTCTCGGAGTTCTAGTTGAGAAGACGTGACCAGTGGAGTTCAACCCTGTCGGGTGTAGGCAGTAACTACCAAAGACAAATGGGTGAGGTCGCGCAAAATCCCTAGATCAATCAGAGTTAGACATTAACACCATTGGGTGCCGGCCCAGTGGTCCGATGGTAAGGCGTTCGCCTACAATGCCAAAGGTCCCGGGTCCGAATCCTGCGAGGAGCAGGAGTCGTGGATGCGCACTGCTGAGGAGTCCCATACTAGGACGAAACGGCCGTCCAGTGCTTCCAGGTTTCTAATGGTGGTCTAACAATGATGATTGATTAATGATTTCAAATGTGTAAAAACGCAAACCTCCAAAACTGTGCCCCAATATAAAAGAATGAATATCGTTTAGAAACAACGGAAAATGAGTGTTCAAGTCAGAGTTGGTTAGAGTAGTGCGTTCAATAACTTAAATAGCTTACTATGACATACATATATTATGTTTTGATGTTAACTGATCAAAAGCAATTGGTTGGAAACTTTGGATCCAGAAGTTAAATATATCATAAGAGTAGAGTAACAACTTTATCAGAAACAAAGATGAATGAACTCATTAGTTAGAATTTTAATGTTGTTAATATAAATATGAAAGCCATGACCAAAAGAATTCAACTGTGTTGGATGTAGGCAGTTAGTTATCAACCGAAGACAACGGATGAGGTTGCGAAAGAGTGTAGATTGATCGGAATTAAACATTAACAGTGGTAGATGTCGACCCGGTGGTCCAGAGCGTAACAGTTTGCATGCTAAAACCAACGGTTAAGGGTTCAATTCCTGCCTTCGGGGGTTAAAGATGCCC